GGATCGAGCCCACAACCTGTGAGGACCAAGGCTCTATCACTGAGCCACACCAGCCAGGGCAAGAGAAACCTACCTTTTAAAAATAAAAAGCGTTCTGACCTGCTTAGCCATGCCCAGATGGACACCTGCAAACGGCAGGTTTCAGTGAGGGAGAAGGCAAGTGCTGAAGCATCAGAGCATGGATGCTGTAGGGGTGGCACAAGCAGCCACTTCTTGCCCCTCCCCCCTGCCGTGGGTGAAATGCCAGCTGCCCAGCCGCTCCCCACGGGCGAGGAGCCAACCTGGACCTCCGCCTCTGCCATCCACTGCAAACCGCGATTCACTCATTGCTTCCGCCTCCTCCAAGTTCTGTGCATTCTAATTTCACTCCATGGTCTCATATGGAATCTGAACCACCTGCCTGGGAGTCAGCACTAATTTGTAAACTTCCCCCTAAGGGCAGAGGGTGCATCGCCCTTCCCTTCGAAGTGAGAGAAACTGTCTGAAGTGTAGAGTGAGAGGCATCGGAACAGGAATCCAGAGCCAACCATTTTGGAGCTGTGACTTTGGACACATAACTTAACTTTGTATTTTGTAGACACTGTGTCCTCCTCTGGACAAGAGAGAAAATGATAGGACACAAGGTGGATGGGGAGGAATTCGCTTTCACAGAGGTTGGCCATAGCAGACAGGAAGCATCTAGCTGTTTCTTTCCCTTCCTTCTGTGTAAGTCGGGTGTTTAGTTAAGTGCTTGCGGGAGTGTTTGCTGGAGGTGGGGCCCGGCGTCCCTCGGCACAGTTAGATGTTGGAGCCAAGGTCTCAGTGGCTTATCTATCAATCATGTCACCTCCTTGTTTTCACACTTTCCCTCCCAGCTGGCATCGACCGAACCTTCACTCTGGATGACTTACAGTTCATGATCTTCCACTCACCCTTCTGCAAGTTGGTCCAGAAATCGCTGGCTCGCCTGATGTACAATGACTTCCTATCGGCTGGCAGCGACTCTCAGAGCAGCCGCTACAAGGGGCTGGAGGCCTTCCGGTGAGTCTCTTTGTGGAGAGCCTAGAGCAGGGGTCCTCAACCTTCTGGCCCTTTAAATACAGTTCTTCATGGTGTGACCCAACCATAAAATTATTTTCGTTGCTACTTCATAACTGTCATGTTGCTACTGTTATGAATCGTCATGTAAATATCTGATGTGCAGGATGGTCTTAGGCGACCCCTGTGAAAGGGTCGTTCGACCGCCAAAGGGGTCACGACCCACAGGTTGAGAACCGCTGGCCTAGAGGGTCAGTCAGGAGGCGTGAGGAAGGAAGAGGCTTCCTCCAGCCTTGAGTCTGGACCACCAGCCACTCCTGTAGGGGAAAAGGACACTCCTCCAACAACAGAAATGACACCAAGTCTTGCGTGGGTTAGTGGGTTAATGTCCACATAGGGTCCTCCACCTTTATCTCAGGAGCACAGGGAGTTTGCCGGCAACTTGGATCATGGGACTATAAGAAGCTTCAGAGAACAAGACAAAGGGGAAAGAGGGTGTGGCTACATCGTGCAGTCAGTAAACATTCGATGAACGTCAGCTATGTGCCAGGCATCTTCCTAAACTCTAGGGACACAGAAGCAAGGGTGACTCTATGCTCTCTGCCTAGAGGCTCTCACAGTTTATATGGACAGGAACACCCAGAAACAATCCCTGTACAGGACAGCAGCTCAGCCAGTGTCCAGTCTAATTCTCACTCACCGTGGACTCCATCAATGCCTTGCTTGTTGCCTCAGTTCCCCCATCTACAAAATCGAGATAGTCCAGCTCACCCTCTTAGAGGTCAATAAGGCAGGAAGAATGCCATTTATGGATGCACGACTCCAAGATAATTAGGAACAAAACGAATCTTCAATACAGACAGTCCCCACTAGGAAGAGAACGTTCCCTCTCTTCTTGGTCCCTGTTCAGGTGTCGTAATATCCCAGCAATATCTGTCCCTATTGCAAACTGCTGCTACCCCTGCCACTAACAAACACCAACATGAGCACAAACACCACTTACGAGACCTGCTCCATGAAAAGAATTCGAACATACAAAGATAATAACCTAATATATTTAATATATGAAATCGCATCAATAATAAGATAAGCACTTTAGTAGAAAACTGAGCCAAGGATATGGATAAGGAATTTCCTCAAAGAAGAAATGCACATAATCATATTTTTTAATGTGCATGCTCATTGGTAACGAAGTTGAACAGGTTACCATGTTCTTTGTGCGGCCTTTTTGAAATTTGAATGCCCAGAATTGACGAGGCTACGGGAAAATGGGGCAATTAGTGGATATTGATACAAGGGTTTTGGGAAGTAGTAGGAAAACAGGGAGTATAGGGCTTAATGATATGCATAGCTTCTGGCTCAGTGATTCCACATGTTTAAAAGAACATGTAGGTTTTCTGAGTAGTGTTTGAACTGGTGAGGATAGGAATGGGAGATGGGCCAATGGAGGGCCAATGCTATCATGACCCATCCTTGCAGCCTTTATAATACTGTTGTAGAAGGTGATCTATTGCCATAGAGAAAACCAGTTAAGGGTGCGTGCTAAACAGAATGTAAGAATGATTTTATTTTCCAATAAACTGTATGAAAGTAGAGATCGATCCCACACAAAATATATGACCTAAGCGCTCTCTCTGAATGGTAGACTATTAGGGACATCTTCATCTTTGCACTTTTTCTGCATTTTCTAAATATTCTATAATAAAAACACGTGGCTCCTTCTAAGTACAAAATAACTGATGAACAGATGG